TTTTTTTTTTTCTTTTCTTTGCGGTTTTTGGTGGAAAATTTATTTTCTCTCATTCGCCGTGCTTATATCAAATTTATTTTCTCTCATTCGCCGTGCTTATATCAAATTTATTTTCTCTCATTCGCCGTGCTTATATCAAATTTATTTTCTCTCATTCGCCGTGCTTATATCAAATTTATTTTCTCTCATTCGCCGTGCTTATATCAAATTTATTTTCTCTCATTCGCCGTGCTTATATCAAATTTATTTTCTCTCATTCGCCGTGCTTATATCAAATTTATTTTCTCTCATTCGCCGTGCTTATATCAAATTTATTTTCTCTCATTCGCCGTGCTTATATCAAATTTATTTTCTCTCATTCGCCGTGCTTATATCAATATTTCAGGACGAAAAGCCGGCTACTCATGTTCGTATCGAAAATGCCAAAAAAACTCCAAGAAAAAATTACATATAAGAAGAACAATAATTAAGAAATCCCTGAGCAACAGCAACTCAGCAGCAAACTATTCCCGCGGTAATACAGATCAGCAGTAATATGATTGCTTTGGAAGAATTAATTGAGAAGCTTTGAATAGGAAATTAAAATCTCATTGTAAGAGTGCTCGGAAAGATTTCTGCACAGTCCCATATTTCATTGCGCATACAGTTCTTCTATAAACAAAACAACGGTGAAAAGAACGGTGGGTCAACGGCTTTGTGTTAGAATAGCATGGAGTTATACGAAAATCTTTCCAAGAGAAAACTATTCTTCTGCCGAATTCGTTCCCCTTTAAATGTATGAAATTTTCTTCGTTTATTTTTTTTCTTTCAATTTAGTGTAAGACCCTCTTGAACAACCCTAACCAAAAGAAAAATTTTGTATCCGGGTGTGTAAAACCTGCCATGGTACTTGAATAACAATGAAAATAAATTGTTCCGTGACGATTTAGCCCTGCGGCTCCCAAGATATCATTCTTCTTACTGTCTGCCCCACAATTCTTTTGATATTAGTTGGGATAACTTGGTATTGAATCAACTGATAATCTATTCATTGACTCTTCAGGTTCTTCTCTCCTCTGCTTGACTTGTATTGACATTATGACGAGCTGGCAACTTTGGTTCACTTCCCGAATTAAAACCGCACTCGAATGCAAGGTTAAGTCAGGGATAGCATGAAACTGGAATAGCAAGAACGCTCAACCTCAGTATATTAATAGTTTTGGAAATTTGAATACAAAACTGACGTGGCATTGGAACTATTAACTATGTTCTGTGTCATAAAATCATACAAAATCTACAGATAGTTCACCGAAATTGTTGAGTGATTTGATAATTGGCTTTACAAATTAACGCCGCCTTCGAATAAACGCCGCCCTTGAAATAAACGCAGCAAAAACTTAAAATGTTGATTGAATTGAATTAAAGGCTCGATTACCAGCCGTTGTTCGGGAACCGGAGCCTGGGCTCCTTCCCGAAGAGGAGGAACGAAAAAGACCGGACCCTAGAGAGCGGCGGAAATCGAGAACGAAGGCTACGACGATTGCGAGTTACCATTCGCTTGGTGTCGTTCCCGCCATTTGTAACAGCTGTCTGACACTGTTTAGAAGAAAGAATCCGATCTTGAAAAGGAATATTTCACATGACACTTTTGGCGGTGAGGTCATTCTGTTTTATGCGATCATGATAATAACATTTCGAGAGATCAGAGTTCAGAATTCCAAAAAAAATATGGAATCTGGGAGAGAAAGAACCTATGATTAATGAATCGTTTTGACAGAGGAAAGCCTCGAGCAGTTTTAGACATAACGCGGCCGTGTTCAATTTCATGACGTCATGATTTTGATACCCACTTGATTGAGCTAGTGTCACAGATCAGTTATTATTTACCTTGAGCCTGGAGTTACTCGAGCACAGTTTGGCACACATAGCTGTCTGTGAGTCGTGTGGAAAGCGATTCTGGAGAATGGCGTTCTCGTCAAAGATTTTACTGCTGGTTGGTATTTCTCTAGCACAGTTTTACATCGTCCAAGGTGAGATTAAAGGCGTTTTATTTAACAGCAAGCAATGGACGTGATCGCGCAATTTGCGTCTGTTCTAGAAACCAGCTAATGGAAGTAAATTTTTGTTTACGTTTACGAATGCCAGTCGCTCTTTCTTAGTAGAAATTCGGCGTTCTTTACATAAAAGTCATCAATTGATAGAAAAGTTGTTTTTGTTCAAATACATGTATTGGAACAAAATATATTTTGTACCATATGGAATTTGGCAAAATTTTATCTGATACACTAATTAAATGTCTATGACACGAGTTTGAAATAAGGCATATGTAATCCTTAATCCTCTAGAGCTCCAAACTGTGAAGCAAGTTCGATTATCAGTGCCTAATTGTGAGGAGAAATGCTTAATTTGATCTGTTCTCAAACATATTGTCTCGAACGTCTCGTCCTGTCCTGCTTGCTTGGCAGTCATGGGTGTGATAAAAGCCCAGTGTTATAAATTCTCCTATTTCCTGTCAATCTGACTTACGATGGCAAGATTGTTTGTTCTTCTGGCGATTCCCCAGCTACATCAATCTTTACTGTGCTTATAGCCTAATGACAGCCACTTCAAATAAACCAAAGGTTTTTTGAGAAGGTTCCAAAGGCCAGCAATTCTCGCGTGATGCGAAATTATCTGTACCATTATCTGCACCAAGATCAATTTGTGCGTCAACAGTTGTTAGCGTAGTTGGCAATTTTACAAAGGGAATGTTTCGGCACGTTCTTTCTTTCTCCACATGTTGATTTAAGAACTTCAGACTAAATGCGAGATTAGAATTGTTATATTTAAAGGGTGGCTCTTTGATTTTGAGGTTAAGTTCTCAGATTCCTAATTCGACATACATCTTCATGTCCGCTAATCGTTCTAAACTCAATACAGAGTTAGAATTAGTTGAAAATTGCCCCACTGACATCAAAAAGAAAACTTATTTCGGAAAAGGATTAAAGTTTTGTAGTATGGATATTTGAAAATATGGTACGACGCTTTACATGGTCCGGAACAGTGTCCGGCATGTTTCAAGGCTAAACAATAAGCCGCGGAAGTCGAAAGGGTTGCCATAAAAATTCAATCTGATGTGATTCACCGAGTTTGTTTGTTTGTTTTTTGGGTTTTTTTTTTTGTCATCACTTTTCGGTTAACTTTGAGCAAATCAAGTAATCCCCGTATTTGCACTTGAAGACTAACTGACTATGGTAATTTTAAATTTGCTTTTGTATAGAAGTGTAACAATAATTTCAATCGCGCGAACATCCGTTGGAATGCAGATTTACGTCAAGATTTTTTCTACTGACCCCTTAGTTAAAGTTACTTCAGACATTTTTCGTAGCCTGATTTTGCCAACTCCCTTCCTCTCCACATTTTTTAAATAACCCAACATTTTGGGACCACAGAAACAAAACAAAACAAAACAAAAAGATATCCACCATAGGCCAGCTGCGACAAATTACTTCGTGCGAATCATAAGATTATCAACTTTGAGAAATGTCTCTGTTTGGTATGTGGATATTTTTCCAATCAAAACAAGGATGGATAACCATGCGTGGTGCACTTAATGGAGAGTAGGTTGGTTGATTTCTTTAATAGGGGTCTCACTAAGCAGACCATAAGGGCAACAAAAGGATGGCCGAAGCGAAACAAGTAGTTTTAACGCTTTGGCTCTCTTCTACTTCCTGTCCGTTATACATGGTGTAGTCGAAATCCACAAATACGAAATTGCACTTTTACTAGCGATTCGTTAAAAGCCAACATACATAAACAAGTTAAATATACAGAACAGGAAAGCAAAACGAAATACAAATACAACAAGAAAAATGACGGACAAAATAACGAAACTTACAAGATTATGTGGCGACTACGACGAGTAAAACATAATGACAACGGCGACAAGAAAACTACGGCAGAAGAAGCTATACCAAACAAAAGAAACAGTGCATAAAAAATGAACACGAAAATATGAAATGTGACGTAGCCTAAATGACTGGCAAACCTGATAAAATAACAAATATACACGGAATAACTGAAAACGGAAAACAATGTACAAAGGACGGGAATGCAAAACAAAGGTGAGGCGTCGTGACTACACATGGTGTAACACATGAGTTGTGTTTCTTATGCGCGCTCGTTTGTAATGATCAACATAGGGTTCTAAAAAGGGCCATGATGAAATTACAACGAACGTTTTGCAAGTGAAATCAATCTGTGTTCCTTTATTTGACCTATCGCCGGGACTCTCTTGGACAGAAAATCACATCTTCGTGGCTCCGACGCCTGCCTCCAAGTTCTCTTGTTCCAAATTCAAATTCGAGATCGGACCACTCTGTAAGTGCCGCTTGTTATGCTCTATTTACTTGAGCTTTTCTGAGATGAATGGCAAGTGTAGATGATAAGGTGTATGGTAAAGGAAGAGATTTGAAAACACAATGTCTTTATGCGCAACTGACACGTTAATTACTTCATTTTTTCCTTTTTGACAGGTCAGAATTACATGAACTGGGTCGGTCGATGCTGCACTAAAGGTCGCCGCAAAGCCTCAAAGAATTATGACCCTTCTTCGTGTAACTCGGATGATTTGGACAGGCGGCGATTCCAAACTAAGTTTGAACGTTGGATTTGTCGGTATGCTGAAAGGATCTGCTGCATGAAAGAAATCCAAAAGAAAAGCTGCCAGAGCGGAATTTTTGAGGCGTTGTAAGTAGTAACATAATGGAACGCATTGACGAAATAATGATAGACCAAATGTAAAAGATCCAAAAGAAAAGCTGCCGGAGCGGAATTTTTGAGTCGTTGTAAGTAGTAACATAATGGAACGCATTGACGAAATAATGATAGACCAAATTTAACTAAGCAGTTGAATTATGAAGATAAAAACGGATTTTACACGTAGAAGAAGAATACCCAGCCGATTATTAGGAACTGATAATTTTTAAGTGATTAAAAGTTTTGTAAGCAGGTCAGGTAATATTTACTTATTGACTGCGTTGGAAGGCCGGACGGGAAAATATTTGGCTCGCGCGAGGTCCGCGCGAACGAGAGCCGACGCGATATACTGGCGCACTTGGAAACCCCCCAAAAAAGGATTCTACCACAGTAGCTTTTTCTTTATATTTTCCAGGTAGAACAAAATTATCACAATTTGTTTTTTTTTTTTATTATTATTATTTTGCAACAAAGCCGTTCAAATGCACTAGGGCCGGACGGTTTTTTTTCTGTACTGGCTCCCTACACACGGCTCCCTACTCCTTTCACTATGGTTTTCTATGGGATTGCACGAACGGGGCCGGACGGGTCATATGATAAATATGGGTTACTGACCAAGCGTGAGGTAAGATGGCTGGACATTGGCCGAGTTCCTTGTTTGCGTTTTTATGGACCGACACGAAGTCGAGGTCGATTAAAACGCAAAAAAAAAACGGAATAAGAAAGCCAACTGTGTTTGTAGCACAACAAACCCACGAGTGTCGTTATTTTTTTGGTTTTGGACTGTCTTTTGCCGCTTTTCATCGCCGACATTGTATAAAAGTCACGAACTTTTTAATTAAGTCCGCTCCACACCAAGCGGGCAGTCCCGAGCGGGCAGTCCCGAGCGGGCAGTCCCGAGCGGGCAAGATGGACCCATCTTGCTCGCTCAGGTAGCTAATCAAAATACAGTATTCGCTTCATATTGCCCACGGCGCTGTCAGCTAGATAATAATGATATATCTCATGTTGTTTTTAGGCTCGGGCATTCTTGTGGCAGGTTCATGCCGTTTGTAGGCGGGGATGATTTCCGTGAGTGTTGCGACTGTTGTTCCCTGGGAGTCAGAGCCAAAGCAGACAATGATACCATTTGTGCAGTGGACAGGTTCCCTGTGATGCTGCTATCTGACTCAAGCAAACAATGTACTAATTCATTCAAACAGTGCTGCAAAGGTGAGGTTAATTTCCAAATCATTAAAAGTCTGAATCGATTTAGGACGGCAATGTACATTGCAAGAATGAAAACAGTTTTAATGTCTCTTACTGACTTACTTCGAGAGTCAATGTCATGTGCGAGTTTAAGTTTTCGCTTAAGTTGTATGTTCAATTCTACTTGTAAATGATTACGAGGAGACAGAGTGAAGTCCAATTTGGTCTGTAATCGTCTCTTGAGTCATTATCAAAATCGGACGATGGTGAAGCGGGTGTCTGATTTGTCAATCACTGAAAGAATTGGACGACATAAAGTCCGGTTTCCAATTAAACCAGCTATGACAAATTGTAAGAGACAAAATGCTAATCAACTAGACTTATTCATAAAGGAAAGCATTACGTTTGAATTTTGTCTACGAGAAATTGTACCCAATGGTCAAAATAACAGCGCCCATATAACGCATGCTGTAAAATTACACACGCATGACCTTTGCGCAGTAGTCCTTTCAAGTTCGAAAATTTTGTTTGTTCTTTAAACATTTCTCTAGTCTTAAAATAGACTAGAATACGTAAATCGATCGTCATAAGCCTGGGATACGCCAGAGAGTTCTAACACCAGAAAGTTTCTACTGCCCCTTTTTGCTCTTCTAATCAAGTTAGGGATGACTTGATGAACTCGGTGAACTAGGCCTTACACCATGTGCATATACTGATGACAAGCGCCCACTGCACTGTTAAGATCAGCACTGTCGGATAGCGTCTGGTTTTATGTATTTAGGGTTTTTAAAAAGATGAATGTTCCCTCCTCAGGAACGATATCTCCCCCTACAGTCCTTCCAACCGCCAGAAAGCCGAAGTGTTCTGACAACTTCTGTCAGCAAGAATGCCAAGACTCACCCACACAAGGGGCACAATGTAGTTGTCGAGACGGATACCGCTTGAAACCTGACAAAGTATCTTGTCAAGGCAAGACCACGGGGTTATTGGACTTTTAACTTTGTGTATTCACTATTTTCTAGTCTACAGCAGTAACAAGAGCCGAATTCACCGGCAGGAAACGCGCAGGGTCCAATAGGAGGGGTGAACGTTTGTTCGGAAAGTGTGTTCACATTTCCAAATCATAGCCGTGAGTTTTTTGGGCAGTTTATCTTTCAAAAATACGTACCTCACCTCACGGTGATTGATAAATTGGTCAAACGGCGTGATTTATGTTTAATGAAATAACTTTACAGTAATCTATTGTCTGGGAAAAATTGAATATTAATGACGCAAGATAAGAACTCCTCGGTTCAAACCATTTACTGAATGTGCTAACAACTTTCCTTTTCTTAAAGACATCAACGAGTGTCAGTTAAGAGGCGGTAATACATGCAGTCCTTTAGAACGGTGCGTCAATACTCCTGGCAGTTATCGATGCGAAAATGGAACGACGGAGGCAGCGTGTAAACTGGGAGAACAACTCGTGGATGGAAGATGTATTGGTGAGTGTTACTTTCCTGCTGTAAAACGACAAATTAAAGCTAATTGTCTCTTATGTGCGTGTAGACCTTCCGTATAGTGTAACAGCCTTCAAACCTAACCTATTTAATATCTAATTCTGTACCAAACAAAAGTTAATTGAAGCAGGTTCATTTGTATTTAAATTATTTACACACCTTCTCTAAAACTCTCGAGATCGGTATCTCAACTCTCTCCTGGGTAATACCCTCTAGTTGAAATGTTACCGTTTCTTCATTCCAATCGACTTTTTTTCTTCAAAATATAGGTGTTTAAGGAAAATTACTTTAGATAAGGGGTTTGCCCTTCTCCGCGACTAACGGATATCAGATATCCCGCGGGGAATAGGTTAATCGTTGGCATGTATTGTGTTGTGCATCTTTTGTAGCTGGATCACATTGTTTACTTAAACAATTTGGAAGCAAACAACAAACTACGTTCTACCATTCGTACTTGCCGTGTTTCGTGCTTCTTCCAAACATTAACCCCAATTTTAAACGTCCATGTGTTACGTTTCGTTGTGGCGCGATTTGAACCCCATTCTCGACTTTTTGCACGTACGTTTTCGTAAAAGTCTTACACCAATTGCAATACTGACGAGAAATCAAAACAACGCAATGGAGATGGTAGTGTTTTTAACCGTATAAGATTCTTTGATTAACAGATGTAGACGAATGTGTGCGTGGACTCCACCGCTGTGGACGAGAGCAAACCTGTGTCAACAATGATGGATCTTACAGTTGTGCTTGCAGGAATGGCTTCCAAGCTTCTGGGAGAACATGTCTTGGTCAGTAGTCTTAAATCATGAAATTATTATGATTCAAACATGGCGGATGCGCTCGGTAGTAAAGATACTACTGTTAAACAAAGCGATAGGGTGTTAATTGGAATAAAGAGGAATTGTGGGTTGTGTGTGAGGAATTGTGGGTTGTGTGTGCTTTTAAAATTCTCTGCCTTTAAAAGCACACACAACCCATAATTCCTCTATTCGCTCCGACGAAGGGCTAACGCTCGAAACGTCAGCTTTTGTAATCGTTACGGTGGCCAATTTACCACTTCAACTTTGTTAATTGGAATAATTTGAATGTATCAACAAAGTTGAAATGGTAAATTGGCCACCTTTACGGTTATAAAAGCTGGCGTTTCGAGCGTTAGCCCTTCGTCGGAGCAAATAGAGGAATTGTGGGTTGTGTGTGCTTTTAAAGGCAGAAAATGGAGCTACGTGATTGGTGGGAACATGGCAACGAGAAAAACACGAAAAGATTAGTCGCTAGACATTTTAATTTACCCAATCATTCTAAGCAACATATGGCAATCTGCGGTCTTTCCTTACACTTAGGTAGCACGGAAAGCCGCAAAACCCTTGAACAAAAGCTCATCTTTCAAACCGGCAGTCTAAATCCCACAGGTATCAACGAACGCTT